AAAAAAAAAAAAAAAATATATATATATATATATATATATATATATCACTCATATACGGTTAGACATGTTTGCTTAATCTTTGGCCAATTGTATGGAGCAAATTTTGTGCCAATATTCATCAAACAAATCCAGAGTTTTGTAAATAAACACAATTTGCTTTGCAAAGAAAAACTCGCCTTTCAAACAAAAGCAAAGTGATTTGCAAATACAAAACTCTATTTGAGAGAAAATGCAGAGGTATGGACAAACATATATAATATAGAAAACTTGGCTTGATTTTCTCACAAATGCGTGCAGGCAGATTTTCTCACAAATCAAAAATCAACATATGCATATATTCTGTATCCCGCAATCCAAAAGAGGATAAGAGATACGGAGAATGGATCAGGTTTTAGAGGGAAAGACTGCCTAGTTAAATGTTTAGCCATGTCACTACTGATTTTGAACTAATCAACCATGTTAACAACTTTACAGCACTTATTGTGAACTGACACTGTAGTAGGGTCGCTTTGTGAAAACATCTATATGGTTAGTTATAGATGTAGTAAGACAGAAACTTTTGGTCTGAAAAGATAAAAAGGTGTGTCGAGTCTCGGGAGACTAGCTTAAATTGACCGACAGCTTCATCTGCTGTTTTTGGAATTGAACGTTGCTCAATTGCATTTGTGAGAAAATCTGCCTGCACGCATTTGTGAGAAAATCAAGCCAAGTTTCCTCATAAAAAGGCAAACGAGTCTCACAGTTGTAACACACAATACATATGTTTGTCCATACCTCTGCATTTTCTCTCAAATAGAGTTTTGTATTTGCAAATCACTTTGCGTTTGTTTGAAAGGCGAGTTTTTCTTTGCAAAGCAAATTGTGTTTATTTGCAAAACGTTGAATTTGTTTGATGAATATTGGCACAAAATTCACTCCATACAATTGTCCCATAACTCTAGACACAAAACCACACACACACACACGCACACACTAACCCATAAATCTAGCAAAAGCAAACAATGCATTCAAAACTGTTTTATCCCTTTCCAAAAAAAATTTTTTTCATGCACACACATCATGTGAAAAGATGTGTCTACCAAGCAACAACAGACAATAGTGATCTATTAGTAATAGTAATAATAATAATAATAATAGTAGTCTCTATTTATCCTACTGCTCAAAATTTGCTTCTTTCTTCTTATTTTATTATCAATTGTTTACTTAAGTAAACAATCAATAGTAAGAGGAAGCTCTGGGTGATACTCTTAGCGCTGTTAGTGCTCTGGGTGACGCTCTGGGTGACGCTCTGGGGGACGTTTTGAGTGACGTTCTGGGTGACGTTTTGAGTGACGTTATGAGTGGTGTTCTGAGTGATGTTCTGGGTGACGTTGATGATCTGGGTGACGTTTTGAGGGACATTATGAGTGGTGTTTTGAGTGATGTTCTGTGTGACGTTGATGATCTGGGTGATGTTGATGATCTGGGTGACGTTGATGATCTGGGTGACGTTTTGAGGGACATTATGAGTGGTGTTTTGAGTGATGTTCTGTGTGACGTTGATGATCTGGGTGATGTTGATGATCTGGGTGACGTTGATGATCTGGGTGACGTTTTGAGGGACATTATGAGTGGTGTTTTGAGTGATGTTCTGGGTGACACTATAAACGTCATTACACAAGTTCCCCTCACAACATGAGATGCCATCAACTCTACTAGTAGATTCTGTGACATAATCACAAATAGATTTAGAGACACAGCCTTTTAGAATCGTTTCAGATTCGTTGAAATACGCTGATGAATAGAAAGAAAACAGATGTTAGTGTAAGATAGCAATTGGTGTATGTGATCTGTATCAGATGTTTAAAATGAATAACAGAGAAACAAAATAACAACTTGAATCTTCTACCTTTTTCAGATTCTCACCTTTTATTGCAATGCAGCGGTCTTCACTCCCTGAACAGTTCACTGTGTTTGAGCAGTTCTGTTCATCACAATAGTAACATTTCTTTCCATTGGGAGTGTTAGTGCTGGGATCTACAGAAGGGAAACAAGTCTTCTTTTATTTTTCGTTCAAAATATGACATCTAATGAAACAACACTCCTTTAGCTGCTCCATCAATTGATAGAAAATCAAGCTGCACACTGCATTTTATTTCCTTACTAAATATCATATGGAAGTAAAGTGAGTTTTGACCTTACAGATAGATAGTCATGTTCTATGGTCAGTATAAAGTACAATACCTGGAGCATCTTGGACGTTACAAAGGTCAGTGTCACAGCAGGAATGAGACAGATGCACAAAGCCATAGTTCGAGGACCAACTTAAACAGTAATCAGCACAATATCTACCATTCCATTTAGTTTGACCTAAAATACATCAGAAAAGACCAGTTCAACTGCTCATTATTTTGATGGAAATATGTACATGTTTTAATATGTAGAAGTAGAAAGCAGCAGTAAAAGTTAAAGGCAAACAATCATGAAAATGCATCATCTCACAGTAAAACATTTTTCAGATTTTTTTTATAATAATAAAAAATTTTATAGCAGAAATCTATATAGAATATTCTGTGATTTAAATGGTAAATTCTGACAGAAAAACAAAACGGTTAGGGGTTCTGTGAGAAGTTACATTTCCACTGTTTCAGTAGCGTTAAATAATACCAGCATCTCCATCAGCCAAATATAACAATGTTTCAATAAATATTAGACTTACCCAAGTTAAACACTGTTGCTTCACTCATGCACTTGGAAAATCCACTGAGACATGTTTCTACCTCAGGATCCACACAAGAACCCGTCTCATTCCTGCACTGAAAACACCTGAGAGAGTGTCCTTTAGTAATAAAACAGAGACATCAATGCTCTGTATTTGTACTCAATAACAGTAAAAGCATGATCTGTCTTTGTACCTGCAGTGAAAAGAACGAACAGAAGAAAAGCTGAGATTTGCAGATCCATCTTTGATCAGGAGGTGAATTAAATATGTTAGTTTCAGTGCTCATTTATAGCTTATGAAAAGGGGAGGTCTTTATGAGAAAATGAAAGTTGAACAGAAGTAAACAGAGAATGAATAGTCCTAAATAAGACAGACAGCAATAATGACAAGACATAAAACTATTTATCATATTACTATTAGTCTACTCTGCAATGTGAAGAGAGGAACTCGACGAAAGAGTCTGATTTTTGGACATAGAACATACATTGCATATTAACTGAGTCATGGTGTCCTCTACATAGGACATATCATTTAATATTAATAATAATAATAATAAATCGCCATTTGTTGCTTATGCTCCAAACAATGTTGTGATGTAAAAATGAGGACATTTACTAAACTTTCTATGGTTCTCAGGAGAATATCATTTTATTTTACAAGTTAATATGGGCTAATATCAGAAAAAAATATAAACAGTGAACATGAACCCACCCCCTAAAAGAGTTTGCTAAAATGATTTCCATTTGAACAGGTAACACTAGAAGAAAGAAGACATACTGTTTTGGAACGACATAAGTGTGAATACATGAACTATACAGTATATCCCTTTACACACAACCTGAGGCTCAAATTTAACCAGCAGCATCACATTAGCTTGTTTTAGATTAGGACATGTTTACAGTATAAACCTTTGATAGATAGATAGATAGATAGATAGATAGATAGATAGATAGATAGATAGATAGATAGATAGATAGATAGATAGATAGATAGATAGATAGATAGATAGATAGATAGATAGAAATAGTCAGAT